AGAATCAAAGAGTTAATAGATGTGACAAACTAAACGAAATACACATATTTCTTTCTTTTGTGCCGGTAGTAGTCGCTGAGAGGAGTCTCTATCTGATTTGTATTAAGTGGTATCCTGTCTGGCGATTGTATTGGACAATGTAAACCAAATGAGATCAATCAGTTGCTCTAAATTATACAGCAATTTTTCTCTGAATTTCTGATTAAGTTAGAAAACTATAAAAGGTTTCTAAGCTTTTTAAGAGCATTTTAAGGTTTTGTTAAGGTTAAATTTTAACACCAAACCAAAGATTTTTCTCATATACATATATGAAAAGTTTCATGTTGTTAGTTTTATATAATTTATTTATTTATTTGCTATTCTTTTTTGGGTACTCAATCCGTCTATCAGTAATAAATGCAATAGCTTTTATTAAATATTTGGACAGATGTACTAAGACAATATAAAAGCTTTTGTGTAGTTTTATTTATAGCGTTTGATGGAATAAGTTTTATTTTTAATATCAATTTTGAACGTAATAAATTAAAATTTATCAAAACAAAAAAAAAGTTCGTTCATACAATAATTTTATTAATAAAATATTTTATTTGTTAATAATAAAATTCTTTTTTGTTAATAGATCTAATGGTATTAGACATAACAATTCGATTCAACTAAGATCTGTAGGCACTGTAAAGAAAATTTATACTTAAATTCTATTTCTTTAAAAGCATTTAGATACTTTGAAGATGTTTTTTGGGATATTTCTATAGGATTTATTTATTCTTTCATAATCAATACCTTTTTCATTTCTTCTACTGATGTTGTTATTTTTTTAATAAAAAATAAACATTTGTTCTTGCAAATGTTCATTAGTTATAATTTAGGTTTTAATATATTTAATTAATTTTATGTGAACTATCATCAAATCCCTTGTGCCCTGGAATCTATATTAAGTGAACCATGTTTCTTTCAGCAACGTCTTTCAGAACTTGAAGGCTATTCCCACACTATTTTTGAGATCACTCGAGGTGAGCGTAGTGATAGGAGTGCTGTTTTACTGTTAGAGAAAATATATATGTTTTTCCCCGTGACGGGTTTCGTCAATGACTGATTTTCTTTGGATTTATTCCCATTAAATCTTAATCATTATTTTTCTTCAACTTTATTTTTTTCTGGTAAAAAGTAATGTTTAATATTAATATATTGTTTTAAAAATATCAAAACTTGTCACATAAAAACTTTTGTAAATTGTAGAGCAATGGTTGGTATGTCATTGAAATATGACACATATCCTAAAAAGGTTAACACCATGGAACTCTGACATAAATTTTTTTCGATAGAAACTATATATATGTCAGATTTACCACTTCACTGCCAACTTTAATTTTTGTAATCTATTGAAACAATTTTATTTGTAGCTTTTCGTTTACAATGTGCATTTGAGATATTTAAAATGTTTAAATTTTAAAAACATTGGCAAAATAATTTGAAACGCTGTCAAAACATTTCAATTTCTCTAAAATGAAATGCACTTTTAAAGTTTGTTTTATTTTTCATTACAAATGAAAATGAAAACATTTCTCGCAGAAAATAGTGTGACAAATAAAAGTAGAAAAAGTTTTCAATCGCTTCAAAAGTATTTCTTAAGTGTCGATTTTAATTTTCTACTTTTCATTAGTAGAAATAAATTTTTTAATTATTTAACAATTATACTTAAAGGTACTACAATGAGAAGTACCCATTGCTAATGGAAAACAACTACTTAAGCAGTTCAATTGTGGTTAAAAAAGATAAAATAGTTTTTATGATAAAACAAATGCTTTATATAAATTAGCTAAAATTGTTTTAGTTATTATTAATATATTTATTTTTAATTAGTATAAAAAACCATAACAATTTTAAACAATATAATAAATTGCTATAGCTTTAATTTATATATTAAAATTTAACTGGGATCAGAAATATATATTTTATTTCACTACTAACTAATAAATAACTAAAACAGTTCTCATGATAAAACAAATGCGTTATATAAATTAACTATATCAACTGTTTTAGTTATTATTAATATATTAATTTAGTTTATATATAAATTTTAGATAATTTAGTTAATATATAAAAAATATAATAATTATTTTAAACAATATAATAAACTGCTATGGTTTTAATTTTTATATTAAAAATGAACTGAGATAAGTAATATATATTAATACATATAATATAATATAATATAAGTAATATATTTGATTTCACAACGAACTAATAAATGTTTTTATATTTAATGCACCATAAGGGACCGACGTGCGTATGAGTAACGTTAAAGCACTCTTGTGATACTTTATGACATGTTATTAAATATACTTTAAAGTTTTCTACTATTTTATATATGTTTTATAAAATATATTTGAATTAAAATTAATGCACTTGTTGTGCAATTTTAAACTGAATCTTTGACTATATGGTCCCTTTTTTTGAACCAAATTAGTTGTAAAATATGCAAAATAAAAAACAAAAATTTATAAAATTTTGTATAAAAATATATAAATGTTTTTATTTATCAAAATAAAGAAATAAAAAGTTTAACTAAAAAATTAAAGGAGTAAGCACTATATTTAAAAGCACGAAAAAAAACCAAATATGAAATGGAGATATTTTAAATATCACGCATACGAACATGACCTCAACATTTTGTAATTTTTTTTCCAGTGATAGCATTTATTGTATTGTTGAAATGGGAATTTCACGCTCTTTTAACAATATATTGAAGTTGACCAAATTAAATGAAAAGGGCATCATCTTATTTAAAAAGTTAACAAAATTTAAATAAAAAATTAAAATTTAAAAATTTAACATTATTGTAAATCCCAAAAAAAATTGTACTACTTAAAAACACATTACTCATTTATTAATTATTTTATTATTCTTATAGTTTTCAACTATTGTAGATATGGGTTAGGTTTTCGTTTTACAATCTTTTCACAATATACAGAGGAACTAATAAAACTTTACTTAGCTGGCAATGAATTTGGTTAGCTGATTTGGCATAGTATTGCAATATTCCATTTGAAGTTTTACAGTAAGCAGTCAAAATAAAATCTTAATACTGAAATGTTAACAAGAGATTCAGTTTGCCGTTCAAGTTTGTGGAAATATTTAAACAGTGTCATATAGTATACAGATGAAATGCACTATCGCTTGTTTTCGTATTGAACTAGTTTCAGAGCTTTCAAAGCGGACATTTTTCTGTGGGTGACGAATTTCTCGAATATTGAGCAATACCTTTCACTGATGATATGAGCATTGCATTTGTAAAGTTCAAAATTAATGCTTATGCAACATTAACTCAAGATCTGAATCTGGCTCTGATCTGGCTTAAACGTCCAACAATATTAGGAATTCTCCTAATGAAGGCAAAAGCGAATTTTCCGAAATACATATAGAAATCTACTAAAAATAACGATCGAAATAAAAGTTATAATTCTGAAAAAAACAAAACCGACTTTAAACGTTATATTTGCGTTTTCACCTGAATAATAAATAGATCTGGAGAACATTTTCACAAACCGTATAGCTATAAATTTTGAAACTTATTTTGGTTCGTCCAGTCGAAACTCTGACACAAGCTTGGTACCCTGGTATATTAACATTATCAATTATATAAATAACTTTCAGTCGCAACAATCAAAAAACGTTAAAAATTCTAAAGGAATAGTCCGATTGCTTACATAATTATAAAACCAATTTGTAATGGATCTTCTTAAATTAATTTCTTTATTTTATATGACTACCAATCTAGATGATTACCCCAGAATCAAGATAATCCAGATATCTAGATAATCTATCTAAGATTATCATAGAACAGATTATCCAAAATATAACTTATTTTGATTGTTATATTGTCGAATAATTAAACCAAAATATCAAAAACGTTTTGGCTTTAAATATTGCTACCTGTTTATACCTATATCTTTATCTAGCAGCCGTTTATTCACTCTTTAGAGCTAATTTACTACATCTGCAATTTCACTAACACCATACAGGGGCACATTGAAGTGCTCGTCCAGTATTTTAAAAAGTGTAGAATAATTTTCATTACCAGGAAGCGCTACCAAGCACCCACAAGACTAAAGGTAGATGAACCAGAAAAATAATCCATACTCTTAAATACCTACATATAACTTTTGACAACAGACACTCCTGGAAAGCATACTTAAGCCCAAACGAAATCAAGCTGCCCAAAAAATGCATTCACTCCACCCGCTCATCAGCAGCAAAAAACTCAATATGAAGAATAGAGTCAACATATACAAGCGGATTATGAAACCAGGACTACTCTATGGTAGTATTGCATTCTGCCAAGCGCCAAACTCCACATTAAAAGCTCTTCAAAGAGGGCAAAATATCGTCTTAAAAAAATTAGTTGACGGTCAGTGGTACATAAGAGGAGCGGATATCCATAAAGATCTGAGAGTCGATTCAGTCGAAAAATACTTTAAAGATCGTGCACTGAAACTGTTCAACATAAATGACAGTGACAATAACCCAACACTCAACAACCTAAAAACACAATGAAACCGGATAAAAACCGGCATCTATAAAGACATTAACATAGATTCATCATTTCATAAAGGTCCCGTATTCAGTCATTCTTAGTGTGACTTAAAACTATCCACAGGTAAAATAGAGTAAAGGTGATGAATAACCAACTGAGGTACACACGCATACAAGACTACATTAGAAAGATAACTCCTATGCTATTAATTACACAAATTTTAAATAATTTATCTCTATTAAAATAAAGATAAGATGTTATGAATTTAATTAAATCAATCAGTTCTTGGAACAAAAAATGAATAAACTTAAGGGCATTATTGCTTATCCTGAAGTATAAATATCTTTACTGTTATTTAATACAAGT